TTTTCACTTTTCATTGTGCAAAAGGTCATTCTCATCCATTTTTTCAATTAAAAGCTATGAAATTATGAGTATATCATTCTATTTAAATAAAACAAAAAGAAAAAGAAAAAGAAAAAGAAAGAACTAATTGCAATTAGAATCTCAATTTTTTTTATTTTTTATTTAACAAATAGTGCATATGAGTCCCAAATAAATTAATAAAAAGGTAATTAGCGCATAAAATCCCTACCTTTTGTAAAAAAAAATTTCATATCTTTCATTTTTTTGACGTTTTAACCCTTAAATACACATTTGATTGCTTAAACCATCACTTTTATCCATTTCAATCCAATTTCTCAATAAAAAGCTATGAAATAATGAATATACCTTAATATTTAAATAAAAATAAAAATAAAAAATAATTGCAGCCATAGTCTCAAGTTTTTGAAGAATGCAAATGAGTCAAATAAATTATTATAAATTAGAATTTTTTTTTTTAAAAGTGCAAATGAATCCCAAATAAATTATTAAAAATAAAAATTTTAAAAATAATTTTAAAAAACGCAAACAAGATACAAATTAGAAATTAAAAAATATTTTTATTTTTCTTTATTTTTACTTTTCTTATTTAAATATAAGAGTATATTCGTTGTTTCACAACTTTTATTGAGAAATTGGATCAAATGGATAGAAATAATGGTTTTGCGCAATTAAAGGTGTAATTAAAAATAAAAATGTCGAAAAAATAAAAGTATAGACATTTTTCATAATAATAATGACATGTAGGGATACTATGTGTTAATTTCCCTCTAAATAATTTATTTAGGACTCGTTTGCACTTTTTTTTTTGAAAAAAAAAATTAGAACTATGATGGTAAGTAGTTCTTTCTTTTTCTTTTTGTTTTATTTGAATAGAGTGGTGTATTTACCATTTCACAACTTTTAATTGAGAAAATGAATGAAAATGACTTTTTACTCAATGAAATGTAGAAATAATGGTAAAAATGCCAAAAATTGAAAGACAATGAGGTTTTTCACGATAAAAGTTGATGATATGTATTGTTAGAAAGTCAATAAAATTTATAGATCCCATAAAATATATTGTTAAAAAGTCAATAAAAATTATAGATCCCATAAAATATATTGTCAAAATTAAACGTTGACTTTGACTCTAATTTTTTAACAATTTTTAAACTTTTCCAAACAAGCACCTAATTAACATAAAACCTGACTCACAATTTAAGCACAACTCCCGATGATAACGAAAAAAGTACACAATTCATCATTCGCAGAAAAACATCTTCGGTCTAAATGATTGTTGACCCCTTTTAATTCATTGTGTAATTGACTTGTAATGTACTTTAATGTATTAAGCAATAAATGAGGGATTAATTATCCAATTAAGCTATTCAGATAGGGTTGTTCACAGCCCGTAGTGATAGGGTTTTAAAATGTTCGATGTGGAAACTGAAATATTTCATTTTTGAGGAAAAGGTGAAGAAACGTGGGACTTCTAACAACATTCTGTCATTTATCTCCATAGCCGTGGTGCCCCGTCCGACCAAGATTTGAGAGTTTTCGAACACGATTCTTCTTCTCCATAGACTATTTAGTAAGTGTTCGTCTACTTTTATTCAACCATAGGATACTTTTATATGCTCTATTCATTTATGTTCTACTTAAACCCTAGGGTATTTTATGCTCTGTTTATCAATGTTCTACTTAAACCCTGTCGATTGAAGATCAATTATGTTCTGCTGGTGATTTATGAACCGTTATGTTCTAATTATTCGAATACAATATGCACTAAGTGGCAATTTTGCATCGAATAAATTCTGTAGATAATTGATTGAATGGAACTCTTCATATGTGGTAAATGTTGTTGGAGAAATTTGGGATACTCGATTGAAATCTGTTGGTTTTATGAATGTGATAGTAAAAAATGAATTCTATGTCAAATTCGAATACAATATGCACTGAGTTTGATTGAGCCTACTGTCTGTATGCAGCTTAAGGAATTAAAAGATATGTTCGACTTCTACAAAAACAAAAAAAATAAATAAAAAAATTCTTATACTATTGGTTTTTCAGTGAAGAAAAGGAATTTAAAAAGGGAGAGGATGGAGAGTTGAGATATATGACGCTGACATGTAGTCGTGAAGGTCGAAGAATCGGTAACACTAGCGGGTCTTTAAAGCCACAATCGACAATTCCGATGGATTGTAAAGCTAGAATCTCTACATCTTCAGATATTAACACAGTCCACCTCGAGCATGATTATGAAACTAATCCTTTGAAATCTAGGTTATATCGATGCAATAGAAAACTGAGTGCACATCTGAAACGCAAGCTTCAAGTGAATGATTTGGTAGTTATTCAATTGAATAAAATTTGTAATTCTGCAGTTGTAGAAACATGGGTTACGAGGACATGGTTGTATCGAAAATGATTGTCAGAATTATATTGAACAAGTTAGGGATTAAGATTTGGAGAAGGAGATGCTATAGCAATATAATCTTACTTTTCGAAAATGTAAGCACAGTGCTTGGGATTTTACTTTAGCTTTGATTTGAACGAATCAAAGTTGAAAAATGTGCTTTGGGCAAATAATCTTTATAGGCAAACATATAAGGAGTTTGACAATGTTGTTACATTTGATACAACTTATCTCACAAACAAGTATGACATGCCATTTGCTCCATTTGTTGGTGTCAGTCATCATGGACAATCAATATTGCTTGGTTGTTGTTTGGTATCAAATGAAGACATATATACTTTTGCACGGTTGTTCCGAACATAGCTTAAATGTGTGCATGGGAACGCACAGCATGGAATAATAACCAATTAGGATAGGGCCAAGCAAAATGCAATCCAGATTGTTTTTCCAAACACAAAGCATAGATGATGTTTATGACATATTCTGAAAAAGTTGCCTGAAAAGTTTGGATACCACGACGATAAGGCTTTAATATTTGGGGCTATACACAAATTGGTTTATGATTCACAGTTTGTTCAGGAATTTGAAGAAGGTTGTGTTGCAATGATTGATATGTATGGCTTGCATGAAATGCCTCAAGCCATGTTTTCTGGACTATATCAGAACAGAAGACATTGGGTTCCATGTTTTTTGAAGACCACTTTTTGGGCAGGGATGTTAACAACTCAAAGAAGTAAGAGCCTGAATGCATTCTTTGATAGGTATGTGCATTTGAAGACCTCCTTAAAGTAGTTTGTTGAACAATATGAAAGAGCACTTAAGGTTGAGAAGGAGCTCCAGGCTGATTTCAAATCATTTTCATAAATGGTACCGTGTGCAACACAAGATGGGATTGAGCAGCAGTTGCGTCAGTTTACACAATTTCAAAATTAGAGAATCTCAAGAGGAGTTCAAGTGGAAGATTCACTGCGACCTCATATCTAGATCAGATGGGAACTTGAGGACTACATATGAGGTACAAGAGGATGTTATTTATGAGAGGTGAAAGAAGAAAAAAATTTCTTCTCTTTTAACAGATAGAAATATGAAATTGTTTAAAGCTGCTACTTGCTTGAGTTTCAAGGCATCTCGTGCCGTAATGCCATCACAGTATTAATTCACAGTGAAGTCACAGTACTTCTACAGAGGTATATACTATTGAGGTGGAGGTGAAATGTTAGTAGAGCACATACGAGAGTTGCAGTTAATTTCAATGGCTTGGTTAGTTCTCCCGAACAATTGAGATAAGATGACATGTGTTGAACTTTTGCCGGTGGCAAATATTGCTGCAAATGTCAAAGGACGGTGATGTGTGGTGATGGATTGGATTAAGCTTCAATGTCAACACCTCATAACATCAAAAAGGTCCGATAGTGGAAGGAATGTCATATCATAGCATATAATCTCCATAGCCGATTAGGGTATTGATTCATAGAATAATGCCAACGTAGACATACAGATCCAATATTTATGTGAAGAAAGATGGCACCTAAGAAGCTTCGAAGAAAAGGTCCCTTGGAGTCAAGTTCCAAGAAAACGAAGGTACATTAAAAGATTATCCTACAAAATGCAACTGCTTCAAAATAATAACGTTGATTGAACTTTCGAAGCACACACTGGAAAGTTCGACATTAAGTAAAAGAAAGAGAACAACCGCAAGGTACACAGATGCGCAAGAGGTCACTGTGGATGATCGCAATTTCAGAAACAACATTATTCCATGCAAACGCCACTCTCATATTTATAGTATTCCATGCCAACACAATTACCGTTCCTACAGTATTCCATCACGCCACCATTATCCCTTTCAAAGGGCTTACCATATTCGAATTGGATTCTTTCATCGTTGGTGAATGAAATATATAGTTTGCAAGGTATAAACATATCACAGACATTTATACTTCAACTTTGTAGTTCTTTTGTGTATGGTTTTATTAATGTTGTTATTGTAATGTAGGTTAAACAATGCCATACTACTCTCCGCCTTTACCGGAACACGATGACTTGGGCAAGTGATTTGATTTATGCTTTAATTTGAGCAATATCAATCAATGCATGATTAAAGTTCAATCGTACATATGTTAAGAGAATAAAATTTCATGAGGTTTTTTAGGTAAACCAATGGATCAATGATGGCAAAGAATAGAAGGTTGATCGGAGGGTCAATTTCATTTAGACCGCATGGGGTAATGAAGAATGGATCAATTTTGTCGAATAATCATTTTCATATTCTTTTATAAGTTGGTTTGTAATATTTTTTGGGCATATACGAAAGTTCAAATTTATAGTCTTCTCCATTTTTTTTGCAATATTGGTGTCTACTGAAGGAAGATTGCTGCCAACGGCATGGAAATATGTTGGATTTCCTCTACAGAAAATGGAACTCTTTCATTTGTCAAGCGTTAATAGTTTGTTGAGCATCCACGACTAGTCATCACTTGGTTTATATGTTTTGTTACTACAACATTGATCATTTTCTTCACTTTATGTTGCCTTTACATATTCATTAAAGCAAATTATCCCCTACACTAATAGTAGGAATAAGTGAAGACAATAACAGAGACTTAATGGAAGAACTTGTTGACATCATCCAAAATTTTACAGAAACAATATTACACGACAAGATAAAACATAACATTTATCCGCCTAAATCTCCTTCTTCATGGAATATTTGGAAACTGTGAGAATTTCCACGTCATAACCCATTTGATTACTATCTATTAATCAAGTCAAACCCTTCCCTTCACATTCCATTCCGCACTACCTTTTGCATTGCATATCGCCACTGTCATCAAATATGTAGTTCTTCTTCATCATTGAGGCAAACTTGAGATTCAAACATGTTTGACATATCTTATACTCCTTCGTTTATCGCAAGGTTCACTCAGGAAGAGTTACCGGTAGAGGATTGACCGCTTGATTCTTCTTTCACAAACCAGTTCCAAAATCCACAATTGTCACTGCAGTAAAGAAATAATCTCCCTTTTATTGCTAGTCTCCTTCTGCACCACAAAACACTTCTCGAATCTATGCTTGCATATTGGACATTGACGTTTTCGTGGCATTCTGGGAAAACATGGTCCTTAGCTCTACAACTACAACATATTCCATAATTCCTTCCATCCATTCTACGACATTAATAAACCACGGATTAGGTCAACTCGAACAAAAGAAAATTGAGCTTAACAACTCATACAAACACACGGAACAAAATAAAAATGTACAGTAGATAAACACTGAGCAACCTCGAAATTAATCATATGACTTATGCAGTATATAAACATAAGCACTTTCTCCAATATGATTGAAGATCATAAATTTCAGATTGAAGGGCAACATGATAAGCACGACATTCTTAATTTATTTATTTTCTATTCACTTCAATATCAAGAGGGTAAAATTCTACAACAATTTTTGTTCCTCAAATTTCAATCATATATGAAAATGGCATTTGGAGCAATTTTGTTGACAAAGCAGTGAAATTGGGTGATTTCCATATATACCTGTGCAAAGCAAATGCGAAAAAAATGACGAGAGATAGAAAAACTTGTGGTGCTGATTTAGCGGGTGGCCGAAAATGGTGAAGCGGGTGGCAGTGCAACCATGTCTAGAAGTGTAATTGGAGCAGAGGTGAAACCTTTGGTTAATTATGATCGGAGAATCCGAACCATCAAGAGGCGAAAAAATCGATGTACTTGTCGTCGTAGAGGTGGCGACACCTTTTGCTGAATTGAGGCCGGAGATGGTAAGTCCAGGTGAGAGTACTGTGTAGATTTCAATTTGGGAGAAGGATTTCGTGGGTGTGGATTTTCAGACTGATCTGTCTTTTTAATTCCTTTAACATAAGTCAATTTTGTGGGATTTTTTTTTTAATAATAACACCACATCAGCCAGGAAAAAACATTGTCATTATCTCCTATGAGCAATGCCCTGCGTACAGGGCACTATTCCACAAGGGGTCTTACAGACCCCTTACTATAGCGACAGGTCGGATCCATCGGCCTGTACTAAAAAAATATTGTGCGAGCCCCATCTCTGTGTCTTCTCTGACAGACCCTTGTGAATCTCCTCTGTACCTGAAGCACTTTTCATCCCCTGTCACTATAGTTGAATTGTTAATTGTCACCTAAACTTGTAATGAATTGACTACAAATAACACCATAATTGAGATCTGCTTTGTATTTTTTGCTATTCACACAATTAATTATTGACACATTATTTTGTGAGAAATAGAAAGTATTTAACAATATTAAATAGTTGTTAAAGTGAAAAATTAAATTGATTACATTTTAATTTAAAATGATGTGTCAATAATTAATTGGATAGACAATAAATTAGACAGCAAAAATTGGATAGCAAATCTCAACTTTCATTTTACTGAAACACTCTTAATTGCATTACTAATAGTTATTGAATTTTATAAATTTTTATTTTCGAACATTACAAAAGTACTATCTACTTAAACACAACCTTCACTTATTAAATGTTACCAAAACTAACAGAATTTGTTACCTAACCAACAAAGTTCATGACACGACTTATATTTCTAGCATAATAGTTTTTACGAATTCTAACAAATAGAATTTCTATCTTTTCTTTTTTATTTAAAAAGATTGAATCTTTGAATTATTGTTACGAAAATATTTGTTAATGCAAATGCACAGTTCATTAACAAGAGTAAAATGAATTTTAATTCCAAGTATCGTTCCTACAGAGACTATGCTAGTTCAAATTTGAATAATCGAAACAATGAAAAGTTATGATTTTTCTATAACTAAATTGTAGTCAAATAATCTACTTATGAATGCAAGGCCTAACTTATCTAAAACTAATGCAAGTTATAACGAATACGATTTTGATGAAAAATGTACTAGGATCTTGAATTCCCCTATGTCAGTCTCCTTTAACCCTAACCTTAAAATTTGACAACACAATTCAATTTATTAAGATAAATATACATAAATTTTTTAATAATCTCTTTCGAGTAGGATTAAATATATCTTTACGTACGATCCGACTATATTTCTATGACGGATGCAAATATACAAGAATGCATTAAGGATTTATGAATACTTAAAGATCACATAAATTACAGTAGTATATTTTTATCGTTGATCGTTCTTTACGACGATTATGATTATGTCTAACTTATTTTTCATCTTTCGAAGGTAAAATAAGTCACAATATTCATGCAATTAGTGATCAAGTAATTGTAGATAATGTAAATCTCATCATAATTGTTCAAAACTAAAAGCGCACTTTAATATCAAAAACAAGATTCAAAAGTTAAAGTTTTATAATACAAGGTTCATTGAAAATCTAGCACTAAAAATACTTAGCCTAACATGCTAAGAATAAAACAAATAAAATGGAAGGCCCAAGTAGTGACTTTGTAGTTGCTTGTACGAAGTCACCTCACCTTACTTGCTCCCTCCATTTCTCATTAGGTCCAGTGTTACCTCTCCCAGATGGGTTTGTGACCCGCCCGATGACTCACCGGCCAGCCATTTTTTCCTAGCTCAACACCTCATCAACTCCGTTCGATAGAGAGCTAATGTATGAGCTTCACTACACATTTACCAGCGATGGAAGGGACCATGGACGATGTATGTGAAGCTGCCCATGGATGCCATGGGGTCCTTTTGCACAAACGATAAGGCAAAAAAATGATGGCATAATCATTCTGAGCCATGGTGCCTGTGGGAGTAGAAGAAGTGGGATGAGATATGGTAGAGACCGGTGGAAAGGAAAATTTCGAGGATTTACAACTAGCAAGGATGTTTAGAGATTGTTTTGTTCGTAAAACTATTGTAATTTGACCTAAGTTCTAGTGGGTGTTGGGGTTTTTGTTAAAATGGTATTGAAAAGATCAAAATTATGGACCGAGGAGAAAAGTCATCGTATTTTCGCTAGCCTACCGTTAGTTGGCTGCTCAAGCAGCGCCTGCATATTTTCTCACAAAAGCTGTCGCTCGACTGGCACATGAGTGGCAAAGTTGTCGATTGAGCAACAGGGTTTATATATATAAGTCACGACTTATATTGTTGCGAGAAGAACTTGTACAGCATCTTCAGAGATTTAGATCTTAATTAAGAGTATTGAAATTTTATTGTAAACATAATTACTATTGACTATAGTAAAATTCTCATTATCTACTTATGGTTTATTCATATATTGGGTTCCCACATAAATCTTAGTTTTCTTATTGTGTTTTTGTTTATTTCATTATTATCATTATCTTACGATCAATTCATAGCAAGTGGTATTAGAGCAAGGATAACTATTCCGCATGACAACAATGAAATAAAATATTGTTGATGAGATTTACTCTATGGTAAATGAAGACAAGAGCAGTTCTCATGCAGATGAATTTGAAAAAAGCCTTGCTTGGCTTTGATAAAATGCCTTCAATATGAATGCAGGATGAAAAGCAGCGTAGGATGAAAGCCAAGCAAGGCTTCTTCCTTTATTGTTGATTGGATGAAAGCCCAATCTCAAATTCATCTATGTCTATCAAATGAAATTTTTTAAAATGTTCTAAAGGAGAAAAGTTCTAGTGCAATGTGGTTGAAATTGAAACAGCTTGGTATGATAAAGAGTTTGACTAGTAAGTTACACTTGTAGCAGCACTTATTTATGATTGGATGTTTGAAGGTACACCATTTGATGATCACTTAACTATTTTCAAAGAAATTGCGGCTAATTTGGATATATTAGGAGTATGATGAGAAGGACTTGGTGTTGATGTTATTGTGTACGTTGTCGCTATCATATGTGATCTTTAGAGATACTATTCTATATGATTGGGATACTCTCACTATGATGAGGTCTATGATACTTTACTGTCTAAGAAGAAGATGAGGTATATTTGCGAGTGGATCTGAGAGTCAGGCTGAAGGCCAGGTGGTTCATGGGAAAACTAAGATAGGAATTTTGGTAAAAATATGAGGGACGGATCGAAATCCAGGCGTGCAAAGAAAAGTGTCATTATTGTAAGAAGAATGGGCATTTAGAACTGATTGCTATGCTTTGAAAAGAAATAAAACTGCTGATGCTGCTGATAAAAGAAAGCAACACGAGAACACAATGTAGGCTGATGTTGTGGAAGATAGGTAAAGTAAAAGAAAGTTTCTTGTGATTTCTAATATGGGTTCCAAACCTTGTGAGGAATGGATTTTTGACTCGATTGTACTTTTTATATGTGTCAAATAGGGACTAGTTCACAACATATGAAGGGATTTTGAGAAATACAGTAATTATGGGAAACAAAATCCCTAGCAAAATTGTTGGAATTGGCACAGTCAAAATCAGAATGTTAGATGGGGCTATTAGAACACTTACAGATGTAAGGCATGTTCCAGAATTAAAGCAAAATATCATATCTATGAGCATACTTGACTTAAAGGGTTCTAGATATACTAGTGAAGTTGTAATTTTGAAGGTGAGTCGAGGTACTCTTGTTATCATGAAGGGACATAAAGCTCTACATGGTTATATAGTTTATAGAGTTCCAGAGTCATAGGGAATGTAGCAATTTCTACTTCTTCTTTGACAGATGAGAAAATTACAAAATCTTAGCATATGCTACTTGGGCATTCGAGTGAGGATGGCAAAGTAGAATTGAGTAGAATGAGACTTCTTGATGAGCATCATGTCTTTAGGAAACAGAACGACTTAGATTCACTAAAGGAAGATACAACACAAAAGGAACACTTAAATATATCCATTCAGATCTTAGAGAACCAACGAGAGTGCGTAATAAAGAAAATGCTTATTACTTGTTGACAGTAATTAATGATTTCTCCAGGAAAGTTTAGGTATTCTTCTTGAAACAGCATACCAATGTGTTTGGGACTTTCAAGGATTGAAAAATAATGATAAAAATGTAGGTTAAAAAGCAGGTAAAACGTCTACGCATAGATAATTAGTTTGAGTTTTGCTCAAGTGAATTCAATAACTTTTGCAGGGTTGAGGGCATCTTGAGACACTTGACAGTGCATTAAACTCAGCAACAAAATGGTGTGACAGAATACAAGAATAAAACATTGATAAAAAATGTTCATTGTATGCTTTTAAATTCTATATTGCCTAAAAAATTTTGGGTTGAAGCTGTTACTACAGCTTGTTTTCTAATTAATCGCCCACCTTTAGTTGCCATTAAGACAAAAATACAAGAAAATGTATGTTTTGGAAAACCTTCTTGTTATTCTAATTTGGATATTTTTGGGTGTCATGCTTATGGTCATATGGAAAATGGAAAGTTAGAGCCTAGGTCTAGAAAATATATTTTTTGGGTATAAATCGAGTTCAAATAGATATAACTTGTGGTGCTTTGAGACAGGAAATATGGTGGTCAGTAAAAATGTAGTATTTGCTAACATGGGAAAATTTTGGTAAAATTGAGAAACAAAATTATTCAACTCAAGTAAAGTTGAAAATTGGTTTAGGATGATAATCAAAGGCTTCAAAACAGTCTACTTTAGATTAGTTTAGTTCAGAGTTGACAGACGGTAATACTATGCCTACACCACTAGCAGCACCACAATATTCGATTGATAAGGATAGGCTTCGCAGACAGATTAAACCTCCACAGAAGTATTAAAAGGCAGACTTGGTAGTTTATACATTGAGTGTGGCTAACAGTATCGATTCTACAGAGGAACTTGCCATATATTCAGAGATAGTCAGTTACAGTGATTCTAGCAAATGGTTGATTGCTATGTAGGAGAAGATTGAGTCATTGAATAAAAATAGTACTTCGAATTTGTTAAAGTTATCTAAAGATAAAAAGGTTGTTTGGTGCAAGTGCGTGTTCAAAAGAAAAGAAGGGACATCAATGATTGAAGATGCAAGGTATAAGGCCAGATTGGTAGCAAAGGG